CTCTCTCTCTCTGTATGCATCTCTCTCTCTCTGTATGCGTCTCTCTCTCTCTGTATGCATCTCTCTCTCTCTGTATGCGTCTCTCTCTCTGTGTGCGTCTCTCTCTCTCTGTATGCTCTCTCTGTGTGCCTCTCTCTGTATGCGTCTCTCTCTCTGTATGCATCTCTCTCTCTGTATGCGTCTCTCTCTCTGTGTGCGTCTCTCTCTCTCTCTGTGCCTCGCTCTCTGTGCCTCGCTCTGTGTGCGTCTCTCTCTCTCTGTGCCTCGCTCTGTGTGCGTCTCTCTCTGTGTGCCTCTCTCTGAGTGCGTCTCTCTCTCTCTGTGCCTCTCTCTGAGTGCGTCTCTCTCTCTCTGTGCCTCTCTCTGTGTGCGTCTCTCTCTCTCTGTGCCTCGCTCTGTGTGCGTCTCTCTCTCTGTGTGCCTCTCTCTGAGTGCGTCTCTCTCTCTCTGTGTGCGTCTCTCTCTCTGTGTGCCTCTGAGTGCGTCTCTCTCTCTCTGTGTGCCTCTCTCTGAGTGCGTCTCTCTCTCTCTGTGTGCGTCTCTCTCTCTGTGTGCCTCTGAGTGCGTCTCTCTCTCTCTGTGTGCGTCTCTCTCTCTCTCTGTGCCTCTCTGTGTGCGTCTCTCTCTCTGTGTGCCTCTCTGAGTGCGTCTCTCTCTGTGTGCGTCTCTCTCTCTCTCTGTGCCTCGCTCTGTGTGCATCTCTCTCTCTCTGTGTGCGTCTCTCTCTCTGTGCCTCGCTCTGTGTGCGTCTCTCTCTCTGTGTGCGTCTCTCTCTCTCTGTGCCTCTCTCTGAGTGCGTCTCTCTCTCTCTCTGTGCCTTGCTCTGTGTGCGTCTCTCTCTCTGTATGCGTCTCTCTCTCTGTGTGCCTCGCTGTGTGTGCGTCTCTCTCTCTGTGTGCGTCTCTCTGTATGCGTCTCTCTGTATGCGTCTCTCTCTCTCTGTGTGCCTCTCTCTGTATGCGTCTCTCTCTCTCTGTGTGCCTCTCTCTGTGTGCGTCTCTCTCTCTCTGTGTGCGTCTCTCTCTCTCTGTGTGCCTCTCTCTGTATGCGTCTCTCTCTGTGTGCGTCTCTCTCTCTGTGTGCCTCGCTGTGTGTGCGTCTCTCTCTCTGTGTGCCTCTCTCTGTATGCGACTCTCTGTGTGCGTCTCTCTCTCTGTGTGCGTCTCTCTCTCTGTGTGCCTCGCTGTGTGTGCGTCTCTCTCTCTTTGTGCGTCTCTCTCTCTGTGTGCCTCTCTCTGTGTGCCTCTCTCTGTATGCGTCTCTCTCTCTCTGTGTGCGTCTCTCTCTCTGTGTGCCTCTCTCTGTATGCGTCTCTCTCTGTGTGCATCTCACTCTCTGTGTGCGTCTCTCTCTCTCTGTGTGCGTCTCTCTCTCTCTGTGTGCCTCTCTCTCTCTGTATGCGTCTCTCTCTCTCTCTGTGTGCGTCTCTTTCGCTCTGTGTGCCTCTCTGTGTGCGTCTCTCTCTCTGTGTGCCTCTCTCTCTCTCTGTATGCGTCTCTCTCTCTCTCTCTGTGTGCGTCTCTCTCTGTGTGCGTCTCTTTCGCTCTGTGTGCCTCTTTCTGTATGCGTCTCTCTCTCTCTGTGCGTCTCTCTCTCTCTCTCTCTGCGTGCGCCTCTCTCTGTATGCGTCTCTCTGTGTGCGTCTCTCTCTCTCTGTGTGCCTCTCTCTCTCTGTATGCGTCTCTCTGTATGCGTCTCTCTCTCTCTGTGTGCCTCTCTGTGTGTGCGTCTCTCTCTCTGTGTGCCTCTCTCTGTATGCGTCTCTCTCTCTGTGCGCCTCTCTCTGTGCGCCTCTCTCTGTATGCGTCTCTCTCTCTGTGTGCGTCTCTCTCTCTCTGTGTGCCTCTCTCTCTCTCTCTCTGTGTGCCTCTCTCTGTATGCGTCTCTCTCTCTGTGTGCGTCTCTCTCTCTCTGTGTGCCTCTCTCTCTCTCTCTGTGCGCCTCTCTCTGTATGCGTCTCTCTCTCTGTGTGCGTCTCTCTCTCTCTGTGTGCCTCTCTCTCTCTCTCTCTGTGTGCCTCTCTCTGTATGCGTCTCTCTCTCTCTGTGTGCCTCTCTGTGTGTGCGTCTCTCTCTCTGTGTGCCTCTCTCTGTATGCGTCTCTCTCTCTGTGCGCCTCTCTCTGTGTGCCTCTCTCTGTGCGCCTCTCTCTGTGTGCCTCTCTCTGTGCGCCTCTCTCTGTATGCGTCTCTCTCTCTGTGCCTCTCTCTGCGCCTCTCTGTATGCGTCTCTCTCTCTGTGTGCCTCTCTCTGTATGCGTCTCTCTCTCTGTGTGCCTCTCTCTGTATGCGTCTCTCTCTCTGTGTGCCTCTCTCTGTATGCGTCTCTCTCTCTGTGTGCCTCTCTCTGTATGCGTCTCTCTCTCTGTGTGCCTCTCTCTGTATGCGTCTCTCTCTCTGTGCGCCTCTCTCTGTGCGCCTCTCTCTGTATGCGTCTCTCTCTCTGTGTGCGTCTCTCTCTCTCTGTGTGCCTCTCTCTCTCTCTCTCTGTGTGCCTCTCTCTGTATGCGTCTCTCTCTCTCGTGTGCGTCTCTCTCTCTCTGTGTGCCTCTCTCTCTCTCTCTGTGCGCCTCTCTCTGTATGCGTCTCTCTCTCTGTGTGCGTCTCTCTCTCTCTGTGTGCCTCTCTCTCTCTCTCTCTGTGTGCCTCTCTCTGTATGCGTCTCTCTCTCTCTGTGTGCCTCTCTGTGTGTGCGTCTCTCTCTCTGTGTGCCTCTCTCTGTATGCGTCTCTCTCTCTGTGCGCCTCTCTCTGTGTGCCTCTCTCTGTGCGCCTCTCTCTGTGTGCCTCTCTCTGTGCGCCTCTCTCTGTATGCGTCTCTCTCTCTGTGCCTCTCTCTGCGCCTCTCTGTATGCGTCTCTCTCTCTGTGTGCCTCTCTCTGTATGCGTCTCTCTCTCTGTGTGCCTCTCTCTGTATGCGTCTCTCTCTCTGTGTGCCTCTCTCTGTATGCGTCTCTCTCTCTGTGTGCCTCTCTCTGTATGCGTCTCTCTCTCTGTGTGCCTCTCTCTGTATGCGTCTCTCTCTCTGTGTGCCTCTCTCTGTATGCGTCTCTCTCTCTCTGTGCCTCTCTCTGTGTGCGCCTCTCTCTGGTGGTTGATGGTGCCTGTGTCTCAGGTATGGGGCTTGATGGTGTGTCTCAGGTGTGATGGTTGAAAGTGTGTTGATTGATGGTTAATGGTGTGATGCTTGATAGTGTGATGCTTCATGGTGTGATGGTTGATCCTTGATGGTGTGATGGTTGATCCTTGATGGTTGATGGTGTGATGCTTGATGGTTTGATGGTGTGATGATTGGTGTAATGGGTTGATGGAGTGATGCTTGATGGTTAATGGTGTGGTGCTTGATGGTTTGATGTTGATGGTGTGATGCTTGATGGTATGGTGCTTGATGGCGTGGTACTTGATGGTTGATGGTGTGGTGCTTGATGGTTGTTGTTTGATAGTTGGTGCTTGATGGTGTGAGGCTTGATGGTATGATGGTTGGTGTTTGATGGTATGAAGGTTGATAGTTGGTGATGATGGTGTGAGGCTTGATGGTATAGTGATTGATGGTTGATGTTTGAACGTATGATGGTTGATGGTATGGTGCTTGATGGTGTGGTGCTTGGTGATTGATGGTTAGTGCTTGATGGTTGGTGCTTCATGGTATAATGCTTCATGGTTGGTGCTTGGTGGTATGGTGCTTGATGGTATAATGCTTGGTGGTGTGATGGTTTATGGTGTGATGCTTGATAGTTTATGGTATGGTGCATGATGTTTTGATGGTATGATGGTTGATGGTGTGATGCTTTGATGGTATGGTGCTTGATGGTGTAATGCTTGATGGTTGAAAGTGTGTTGATTGATGGGAGGATGAGAGCCGCAGCAGAAGTCAAGACATTAATATAATCTCACGTAAATCAAAGTGTTGTTTACTTCTGTTGCCATGTTGACGTACTAGAAACTAGTGAATAAACGCGCGACCATAGTGCTATACCTTATTCGAATATGTCTTAATGGAAACGACCGCTTTTTTTGCGAATTACAGGTTTTTTTTTTCGAATTTTGAAATGTATCGAAAAAACGTTTTTGCGCATTATTCAATGGAAACGCAGCTAGTGTCAATAGTAGTGCACGGTTTTTCAGTTCCAAATGCAAGTGACTTAAAAGTGATCTTATAGTGTACAGTTTGACAGCGGTGGGAATATAAGAAAAAGTAAATAGAAAAAAAGTATTCAGAATTGCACAGTCAGACACACACACACACACACAACACACACACACACACACACTCCCTCTCTCTCTGCACTATAGTGTCACCTGTATGTTTTGCACCACGCAAACTGCTTGAAAAATGGGATGAGCGCTGAGTCCAGGTGTTGAACCAGGTTCCATGGCCGCGTCAAAGTTCTTCACAGATTCACCGTAACATCTTCATGAACGGCAGCCAGCTTCTGGAGATGTCCCCGATGCGCGGGTTTGAGTCTCCCCCGCACAACAACATACAAAAACAACACACATGTAAGGGTTATGGTACAACACACACCACACCATCAACCATACGCCACATCACCCCTGTGGCTATAACAACCTCCAATCACCCTCCCGCATAGCAGCACAAACATCCTGCTTCTCACTTTCAAAGCCATCCTCAACCTCTCCCCCCCTCTATACTCTCAGAGCTCCTCCACATCCGCACACCTGAGAATGTAAGTCACATGTATTTATATAGCGCCCTTTCCGAAGTCAACAAAACGCTATACAAATTGTTGTGGGGCATTATGTCTCTTACATCCACACAGAGATGGGAGTCAAAAACGCCATACAGGAGGGGCATGCCAGACCCTATTCTACATGTTTTTTTAGTGGTAGGGGAAACCGGAGCACCTGGAGGAACTACCAGACGCCCCACAGTGGAGTAACATGCAACCTCCAGACAGAAAGGCCTGGTGGTGGGATCGAACCAGGCCCTCCCTCCAGCGTCCAATGCCGCCTGCTCTACCACACGTTCTTGTTCTCCCAGGCCCCAGGAACACCTCCGCAAGAGCACCTAAAAAACACCATCTGTTCTGCTTCCATTCAACTCTGACGTCACATTCCCACGGTTATATTTTTTACTGTACGCTTTAACTGCTTTTTGCTGTTAACGTTGTCCTTTTTGTAGGGCGTATCTTGAGAGCCATAGAGAGGCAACATATAAATAAAATATATTAACGTTATTATTATTATTATTGTTAAAGAGACCTCCTGCAGACCACACACATGTATAACCTATGATTTCTGAGAGTATTCAAACCCCATAAAGGACTGGTCACTATGTAAAGACCAAGGTACTCGATGATAAAAATGTTGCATATTTCCAAATCCTGGTCCCTTGAGATTGCAGGACTCCTTCACCAGACGAATTAGTTTCTTTCCGTAGACTGTTAAGCCCAGAACAGAAGGCAACGGACCTCTTTTAAATTGGAATAGATCAGCACTTTATTCTTTTAGTATAGAGCTTGTTTTTTAAATCTTTCATTCCCTGTTATGACTTTGTTGTTGTGCCATTTTTTTGTGTGAATATTCTGCAAGGGCAATATTTTAGAGATGCACAATTTAACTGTTGAAATGATCATATCACAAGAGCTGTGTGTAAATCTTAGGTCCTTTGCAAGAAAACCACAAGCCACAAAAAAAAATAACATCAATCTAATCTAACTGCATTCAAGAAAAAATGTCTCTTGATTTCAGTATTCTGTCTTTGAGTGGCAGAAATTAGTTATTTGTCAATACAAACCAGTAAGCTAGTACATTCTTACTGAAATAGATCTTCTCTCAATAGTGTTAACAAACTTTATTCTGAAATATTGGAATCTTGGGATTATTTTTTTTCCATAGTAACTGTTAGCGAATTTGGTTGCGTGTCATGATTTTCAGCACTTGCCATCACCGCTACATGAGAATTAGGGCTGGGAAAACAAAATTCGATATTCCGAACATAATTCGAACATAAACAAAAAATAATACATTTGAACAAATATTAGAGAGATTTATGATTCACTAACATTAAACTGTCATAGTTTTTGTGTGTATTAGGAGCAAATGTTGATTTTTTTGCTCAATAACAGACAGCCATGCTGTTTTAAGAACCGGTCAGAATAATTTGTTTTTTATCGGTCCGCTAACAGAGCGTTGTGGATGTGCGACTAGCCGGAGCCAGTTATTACACACTTGTTGTAAGAAAAAGTGAGCCATCGATTTTAGAATAATAATATAACAATCAATTCAAATATGATTTTTTGAGTTTTAAGTCCCACCCGAAATGGGAATTGAAGGAATTTGAGACCATATTTTGATACGCACTGACAATAAAGAGCTGGACCTTTATTTTAGGATTGAGATATATTTTGCTCTAAACTAAGCCAGAAGTAAGATTTTTTTGACAGTTCCAGGAAGATTTTTCAGCTGCACTCCACCACAAATGTAAAATGATTGGCTGTCTGAAATGTAGTGATGTCACATGAAAGCAACTTCATGCAAAGTTTGTTCTGGTAAAAATTGCAATTAAATATTTTGGCAAATTGTACAGCCCTATATGTCTATATACTGTTGCACGTTTCACTGTGTTCCCTGTTTATAGAACCAAACCACTTCGGCCTCATATTTCACTGTGGATCCACCCTCATCGGAGCCTATTCCCGCCCTGACAGTGATCCTGACAGTGATCCTTATAGTGATCCGCGGCCCTCAGCCCCACAGCTGTCCCGGGGTAATGGCCCTATGCGCAGGGTCTCACCACTCTCCGGTGATGCGAGTCTTGAGCTCAGGGAGGAGGAACTGGTCGTGGAAGCAGTAGATGGGAGGAGATGTTGGAGAAGATGCCCGTAATGACGTCCTGAGGGATTCCAGCTTCGGTCAGCTTAGTGCAAAAACCCTGCAGGGAACAACAGCAGAAAGAGAGCGAGTCAGCACATGTGAACACTGCTGGAGGCTGTTTGCACTCAACGGGCTGGCTACAACAGTCGTGGCACACTTTAGCCCCGTTTCCACCAGCCCAATTGGCTCTACTCTACTCTACTCGGCTCTACTCTCTCCTGAATGGGAGTGTTTCCACCGGCAATGTTTAACCAGACCAGGTGCTTTTTGAAATGACCTGCTGGCCCTGGTTCTATCCAGGGGCCGAGCTGGTACGAAAAGGTTCTAAGTGCTAGTGATTGGTGAGCTTGCTATGGTTACAGAGGAAAAATTTTGTTGGGATTACAGATACCAGATCCTAAAGCTAATGGAAACACTGGCAAGTAGGGCTAGTGGGAAACAGGGCTTAAAAACTGAACAGTTCAGAGTCTTGGCCAGGACCAATAAATTGGCGATTTTAAATGATTATACGTCTTGTGGGACTGCATCCAATACATAATACGGTAACTCAATTTTACAGCTATTGGTCCACAACCTTTTTTTATATTAATGTGGACCAAGGAATTACAGCAAGAGTTATTCATTATGTCACCGAAAGCATCTCCAAGAAGCCAGGAAAGTCTGTAGTTGTAAGACAAGATCTCACTCTTGACTAAATTAACGCTTCGATGCCTGAAAGCTATATTGGGCTGAGGGAGGTGGTTCAACTCTATTTTCCACTTAGCCTCATTCCGCATAAGCTGATCGAAGGGATGTGACAGGTGTTCAAAAAACATGCATGTGGAAAGATAATGATAGAAGAACAAACTGTTTTGGAGAAGCGAAGACAAGAGTTAGACCGTATCATAGTTTAAGTTAGGTACCCCCCAGCTTTAAGCGTCACACTGCACTAGACCAATTGTGAGGTCCATCTCATTAAGAGTGCAATAATTACTCTTATCACCTTAAGTCATGCTGCAAAAAATCACCAAGTCTTTTAATCAAACAACAGAACAATGATGTCTTGCTTACTCAAACTCGAAGATCAGAGAAATATTCACGCTGAGTTAACAGTCAAAGAGGAAGCGTGCCTCGTGTGCACCCAGGGCCACGCCTGGTGTTTCCACAGAAACAGTGTGCATCTTGAAGCCCTTTGAAACAAACAGAAGCGCAGCATCAATCTGCCCTCTACAGATTAAAACCAGACGCTGCACCAGCCACACTGGAACAAGAGGACTAACTACACACACACACACACTCACACATGCACACACTGAACTAACATGCAGCTCTTGTGTTGTTTTCTGCTCACATTCAGCCTGAAAATTGTATAACTGTGTATTGTCCAAACAGACACTTTCAGATATTGTTCACAACTTCTATCAGACCCCGCCCCCACACTCCCACGCACCCGCACGCACACAAACACCACCCCACAGAGGAAACAGCTGCCTGATTGGACAGTGTGAAGACAGCATCAGGTGCCAGAGGAGGACCACAGTAATAAACAACTATGCATGGGTGTCCTGCAGGGTCAGTATCTGGTGGCGACACATCATTTGCCCTCGCGGCAGTGCAACACATCTCCGTCACAGATGGGTTTCCGGTCGGGGAATGTGGCCTGTGGAAGCTTGGGTCACCCCTCTTCCCGTGATGGATGGTCAAGCAAGCTGTTGCATATTGGCAGAACTGGAACCGGCTGTTGTATACGTGAACCACAGCATCCTTAGGACCCGGTCCCGCTAGATAGTGAAGGGCCTCATGGACACCGTAGCTCTGGCTTCCATTTAACATAAAATTAACACACTCGACAAGAACTCACTCTCTATGCCTCCGTGATGAATCCCCAGTCTTCGCTGCTCAGGGGCAAGTGCAGACATGAGTTTAGGGTGAGTGGGGTAATGATGTCAAGGCATATAGTTATGGACAATTGCACGGAACTGAATTAGACTGTGTCAGCCTCAGCACCGGTGCGTCTTCATAAAACCCGCCTCTTCATATGCAACACCTTGAGGTTGGAATGAACCATCTCAGCAAGAAGAAGCTCTCACTGAAACAGATGTTCTGATGCTATGGTCCCAAGCAGGACTGCAGTTGGTCCTCCTTGTCCTTCCACCTCTCCTCCTTGAGCTTCAGCCTGAAGCCAGACCTGTGCCTCTTGTTACCGCACACAATGAATCACGAGTTTCTTTATTTTTTGTTTTTTTTTTTTTCCATCCTGTTTTTCTAAAGTAAAGCTAAACTTTTTTCATTGATTACTTTGTATTCTATGAATGTATACAACCTTGATGATGTGCATCCTTTATTTTTATTTTGTATGTAAATTATTTTCAAAACCGATTTTGAGGTCTACGGTTTAGGGCACGGTCACATTGGTGTTTATACAACCGAATGGCCAAGTGGCCTGGGTTGAAAACGGCCCGCGGTCACATGAACTGTTTTTGCAGAACGTGCCAAGTAACTGTGGCTGTATTAACAACACTCGGGTCCAGCTGGTGGCGCTAATACTAACTAACTCCCCACCTGTCCTGTCTGAGTTGTTTTTTTGCGCTTCTCATTCCTGTTTACAGCTCTGCTACTGTAGCTAAATGCTACTTGTAGCTAAATGCTACTGTAGCGAACTGCTACTCGGGTAGCTAACACTCAGTACGGATCATGTTGTTTAAGGAAAGACATATCTTACACTTTCCACAGTGGCCTGTATGCAAGAGCACAGTTCAAGTGGGTAACATGTGTGGCACGATGTGTGTGCACTGTGTCCCGCGGCGTGGCGCGCACCACACACACACACTCACACGTGCACACACATGTTACCGCACTGAACTGCTGCTCTTTGCATACCCCTTTAGTAACGAGCGTAAGACACTGAGAAACAAATAATGAGAAAGAAAGAATGAAAAGTTTGGCGTACGAGCAGAGTGACCGAGCCGGAGGATACAAGTGTGTGTGTGAGTGTGTGTGTGGTGTGTTGTGTGTGGTGTGTGTGTGCTGGCGATTAAAAAAAATCGATTCGTGATTCTGAATCTATTGCTATAGCACCAGAACTGGATATCAACCATTCACTTTGCAGCCTGTATTATTTCACAGAGGGGCACTACACGGGCACAGCACTAGTATTAAATAACTCTCCTATACAAATTATACAAACAAAAGTAAATTTTTTTTTTTTTTGGATGAGGAATAATTCAGAAAAAAATCATTGTTGAACCCCCACAACAACTAAAATGTGAACAAAAACAAATGCGCTGTGGTTATATGTGTATCCGGTGCATAATAAACAAATCAGCCCCAAAATAAACTGACAGCCTCACAGTGAAACATTTTTGGTACCTTCACCTCCGTGTGTGAAAATTCTGAGATACTTTATTGAGCTATTATACCATTATACTTTTATACCAGGTTGTATGCTTACCACGCTTTTAATAGCGTCAGCTCAATTCAATCACCAACTAACCAAGACAGTTTATATATTTACAGTATATAACCTTTGGCGTTAGAGAAAAAAGGACAAAATGGATTGATAAGAAAACAAAGGAGAGGACAAAGCAGTGTCCGTAGAATGGTAATTATGTTATAAAATAAGAATAAGCAGATTTGTTCCTTTTGTTTACCACAAATGGGATGGCGTGCTAACCCATCACCTACCCCATGAAGCCCAATGGGAATGCTCATAGGTTGAAGTTGTGCCTGTAATGTTTGGATTGCTTAAGGGTGGTTTAATGCCCTACGACAGTGTTTTCCAAACCTTTTTTAAGCGTGGCACACCTTTGCAGTAAACACAATGCCACGGGCACACCAGCAGCCCTAAACGTATACAAAAATGAAAACTCTGCGCTGTGATTAACAATGGAAATTCTAATGAGAATCAAATAAAGCCTATCTTCTTCTGCTTCTCTCATCAAAATGTTTAATAGAGATCTTATCTATGTGTTGTGTCCCCTCTTTCCTCTGTATCTGTAACTTGTGATGCAACACTGAAACATCCCCACTGTGGGACAAATAACATCTCTTACTCTTATGCAAACACCTCTATATAAACTATGTGCACATCCCCGTTCGTCCTCGTCACTCACTCTGCAAAAAGTGATGAAAAATAAGTCAAAAAATAATAAAATTACAATACATGTTTCTTAATTTTAGCACGTTTTTGACGGCCTTAAAAACAAAACTTGCCAATGGGAAAAGCCAACTGAAATGCTTTAAACAGATACAAGAAATGTCGCCCTTGGAATAAGTCCTAAATGTCTTTGTCCCAGTTGGCTAAACTTGTTTTTAAGAGACAGTTCAGAATGTGCTAAAAATTATGATAAAAAACACTCTTGATTCAAGCAATTATTTCCACATATTTTTTATACTTTTTTAACAGTGTAACTGCTGTTATTATTAATAAACTTCCGAGGACACGTGTTGTTTGTGAATGTATCTTTTTAGACGTACAAAAAGCCAAAGGTGAGATAGCATTTTTTTTTTTCCCTGCCGTGTCCTAAAAATAGCGCAGTTTTGGTCTGACACCTACTCATGTTATGTTGCTTAAACTGCGCCGTATCATCCAGTCCAGCAGTCCGGGTTGCGGTCCAGAGGGCACTTGTAATCCGCTCGGCTCTCGTCTCATCTCACTTAAGCCCACGGGCACGGCGAGCGAATTGAAACGGAGAGAGGACGATGTTTTCAATCCATTTGCATCAGGATCAGAGGAGACTGAGAGGACAGAGTCTTACCCGTCCAAGAGGTTTATAGTCTCTTGCCGTAGGCCTGTTCGGTGTGGAGGAAGCTCGTTGGCGATGTTCAGCACCTTCTGGCGTCGGTGCACTGGGGACGGGAAGGGGAACGTTTAGTTGTATGGCAACGGTTCGTAACGCAAAGCAACCTCGAATGCGTAACTCAGCAAGAAAAGGAACATTAACATCAAACTGTAAAATCACAGAGATGAAACCTATCCTAATTGTATGCACAGCATACAGAGCGTATAGATTTGAACATTATCTCACATTTTTAGAGCACTGGTCAGACTGTACAGCATATACTGAAATGCTGACTCCCTGTGCTCCTCAAAGGCCGAGGTTGATTCATATGGCACTATCATGTCACAATGTACTTTTGTGCATTCGTATGGAGAGACTTGTTCACAATCTGGCTGCTTTCAAGTTTATTCTCTGATCCCACCTTCAGACGTAGTGCCTGAGAGGAGTTTGCAAGCTCCCCCTGGTCCGTTTGGGAAGCTCCAGTCTCCTCCCCTCCACTAAGTAACAAGTACAATAGCTTTCCCTCTCTCTGTGGTTTTGAGTTTGAGGTGGCTTGCATCTGTTTGGGATGCCTCCAGGACTACCAGGGGAGGAGACCAGGGGAAGCACCCAGTAAACGTTGGAGGAACTATGTCTCTCAGTCTGGCCTGGGAATACTCAGGATTCCATTCCTGGACAGGCTGCTAAATCGATAGTTTGGAACTTCAGAATTATTTTTTTTTTAAAGCCAAGTAATTTAGGTTGGGGGCTCTCGCATTGTCCCCATAGGAAAATCTTGTTTTTAAAACATGTCAAATCAAGTAAAACACATTATTCATGCATTTGGATTCTTTATATATCACAGTGTAGCTTTACTAGAGTTTTAAGTAGTTTTTTTTGTTGCTTTCTACTGTCAGGCTTACCATAAGTTACAGTGACCTCAGTCACCGGATTAGTTATCTCGCAGAACATGTAGAATGACGCTGATTGCCAGCATTCGACATTCAACAGCAGCCACAGCAGACGTGGTTTGTCTCTGCAACCTGACACTAGTGCATCATCAGGACTTTTGCTCAAACAGTGACACTATGTTACCGAGTTCATCACACCACAGCACCTCCGCACATGAACTGCTGAGTTTCTTACATAGGAGTACTATGAGAAGTGCGCAGAGAGCAGAAGATCACATCCTCTTTCCCCTTAGTGTCCACACAGTCTGCTTCTGTCCAAACAAGCTGGACATAAAATTACATTCCATTTCAAAATTGAGATGATTGACCAAAAAAACCATATTCTGAGAACCATTTTTCTCACGCCCTTTAGTTTTGACATGTTTAACCTCTTTTAATACTCAGAAGCTGCAGAATTTCAGTTAGGACTGGTGAGTAAACAAGCAACCATCATTCCTGCCAACTCCAGGCTCCAGCCATGTAAAGCACACAGCCATGCCATCCTCATGTTAAGTATTTATTTTCAACCTTATATAGATAGAAAACTCTACATGCATCATACCTATGCCAAGCCATAGTTTGTTAAAATGTTGATCAATATGGGTTGATATTATATCATTTTTAAAATGTTCTGTGGCACAATTACAGAATTACAGTCTTTTTTAATGCGATTATAACCTCCTGAGTTTCATTTCATTCATTTATTAAAATACATTTAAAGAGAACATGTATAAACACCCTTCCAGAACGACTGCAGCTCTGTGAATTTAGGGCTCGTAGAATAATTAATTGAATTGAAAATCGAGTTTGCTTTTTAAAATTGTTAACGTTGTGTGTGGGGTGAATTGCCCAGCCTAGTCACGGGGACATTGGTCCATGATCCTCTGCTCGTGTTTGAAGCCTCAGATTCTGCGGAGCCCTGACTGTGACTCTCGATCAATACCGGGTCTGAAACCGAATCGATGCATTCAAGGGGTCCCTTTACTCACACTACTATTAGACACATGATTTTTAAATGCAACAAATTAAAACAGCAAAGTCAATAGTGCATATCAGTTACACGAGCCTGCTTTAAAGCGCCGCTCGCCTCTCAACCAGAGATAATATTAGACACCGGCTGTTTTTCTCCACAACATGAAAGGGTTACGAGGCTTTTAGGCTGTAATGGAAACTCCTGCAAAAGTAATGAAGGTAACTCGTAATTATCTAAGCAAGCAACGACAGTAATATTGGAATCTTTCAGGCGGAGATCCATATAAAGCTGCATATTGAACATTTTTGGGGGAATGTTATTTCTTTTAGCAAAGGGAGAAAGGTAACTGACATGAGGGAGTTATCCGGCGGGGAAGCTCATTGCATCCCACTTAATTAAGAAAAAGTTTTATGTTTTTTATGAGAAAATGTTTTGGTTTTTGAGTAAAATTAAGTCATGTTTGTCTGTTTAAACAACACTGTTTGTTTGAAAAAGTTAAAAGACATGTGTGGTAAATGCCACTTTTTACTCCAGATCAAACCAATAACAGCACTAAAGATACTCAAAATGAAAAAAACTTGAGTGTGTGTTTGAACCTCCTCTGCTCTTAAAGTTTTGTAGTTGATGAAAGTTTATAAGGTTTGGTTCTTGTTAAAAGTTTAAGTTTTTTGTTTTTGTTTTAACTGAAATGAAGGCAATACCTTCGAAGATGGGTTTTGCTGAATTGTTCGAAGTGATTTTTTTGCATAAAGATTTGAGTTTAGATTACTCTTATACTGAAGTGTGGCTAACAAGATTACAGATTCGCGAGTTTTAGAGTTAGTTTTGGGTGGAACAAACCTACATATACATTAAGACACAGTATATTTGGTCCTTTAATCCGTCACAAAAAAAAACAAATCAGACAAATGTCTTTTTCTTACAAAACTTGTTATCTTTTGCAAATGTGAAGACAGAGCCCGTTGAGACACTAATGGACTCTTTTGACTGAGGGGCTTTTATTTATTTAAAGGGACATGGCCTAAAAATGGACTTCTCAGCTAGTCTCATGCTTAAGCTGTTATTTTTATTCTCGATAGACTATGTGTTCCGTCATTGCTCCCAACCCACAGTCCTCTGACATCACATCTAGCCCCTCAACCTGGGGTATTCTAACTTCTCTGACACTTTTCTTTTATGTATCTGTGACATGTGCAGGATTCCAGCTGCTTTGAGCCAACTTTTGTTCTCAAAAGGATATAAGCATGTCTGCGCAGCAATGGGGCGAGCAGTGGACTACTTACGGCGACTAGTTTAATCCAGAACAATTTTAGCTCTATCAAATCATTTCAAATGAATCCTTTGTTAAACCACATGTTCAAACCGGTCCTCATAGGTTGGGCCGCCTTTTTGGTTCAGGTTTTCATTCGACTCACTAGGAGCACACCAGACTCCACCCATTACGTCATGTGAGTCCAGTCTTGACCTGGACCTGGGTGCTCTTGTTTGGGTTGGTAGAATACCTCCAAGCCCGGTGTTAACTAAAAGCCCCGGTGGGTCCAAAGAAGTTATTATAGACAGCAAATCAGTGATTGTCCTTCTAACTCCAGACAGAATAGAACACACCTTCTGCGTCCGGTCAGGTACCCGCTGCTGTCCGGGCGACTCTGGATGCGCGCCGGCTGCCCCTCGTCCAGTCGCTGTCCTCGTCCTGCGTGGATCTCTCCTTGGCCGCCAGGGCGCCCGCAGACACGACACACCTCTCGGCTCCGTCAAGCTGGTCGTAGTGCTCCTGCGTCGATGCGCCTCATTGGCAAACACCCTCTCCCTACCCCTTCGCACGCGCAAGGACGGGATGTCGTGCCCCCGCCCCGCTGTCCCTGTTTGGGATCTTGCCGTTCTGGTCCTGGGCGGCGGATTTCTCGGCTCCTGGTCGTCGAGGCAACGCCACGCTAACATCGGAGCAGTTGTCCCAGCTGCGTGTCGCTGATGGGACGGAGAAGGCGGGAGCATGCTCGGCCAGCTCGTCCCCTTTCTGCTCGCGTCAGGGGGAGGAGGGGTCTGTGGGGGGCATGGATGAGGGGGGTCCCGCCCCACAGGGGTGAATGTCCCTGTGGCGGGGTCCATCCTCAGGCTCAGGTGCAGCTTGGGAGCGAGGCAGCACCCCAGAGGGGAACCCTGTTGCGACGCGAACAGCAGAACATGAGAATGAAACCCTATACCGTTGTCATGACGACGCTGCTACAGCAAACACTCACAAAGAATAAAAAACCAATACAGAACATCCAACGAGGTTCTATTGATTTTCTGCAGAGATTCTACAAATGTATTCGGTTTTACGTTCACGCTAATATAAGATTAAGATATAATAGACTTAAGGGATCTCACACAGGATAAATTACATCTGCCTGGAATAGAATCATCAAGAAGAAAAAATCAAATGTGCAAAGAAAGAAGTGTGCAAACATGTAGATGCAGGATATATTATGTACAATAAAGTGGCAATTAAGAAACATAATAATAGTCTATTAGTTATTGCAGGTTTTTTTTTCATATCAGAGGAACTTCTGTCACTAGTAGCTCTGCCCTTCGTCTAAAAATACTGTTTCAGTTTTTTTGTAACATTTGAAGTCATGTACTGCTTTGAACATCACCCTTTTAAAACGAGCCACAGAGAGAGGGCGGAGAGCACTTATTCAAAGTGACACAGAGAGGCGCAGAGCCACAGAGAGAGGGCGGAGAGCCACAGAGAGAGGCGCAGAGCCACAGAGAGAGGCGCAGAGCCACAGAGAGAGGGCGCAGAGCCACAGAGAGAGGGCGGAGAGCCACAGAGAGAGGCGCAGAGCCACAGAGAGAGACGCAGAGCCATAGAGGGACGGCGCAGAGCCACAGAGAGAGACGCAGAGCCACAAAGAGAGAGGCGCAGAGCCACAGAGAGAGGCGCAGAGCCACAGAGAGAGGGCGCAGAGCCACAGAGAGAGGCGCAGAGCCACAGAGAGAGGGCGGAGAGCCACAGAGAGAGGCGCAGAGCCACAGAGAGAGGGCGCAGAGCCACAGAGAGACGGCGCAGAGCCACAGAGAGAGGCGCAGAGCCACAGAGAGAGGCGCAGAGCCACAGAGAGAGGGCGGAGAGCCACAGAGAGACGGCGCAGAGCCAAAGAGAGAGGCGCAGAGCCACAGAGAGAGGCGCAGAGCCACAGAGAGAGGCGGCAAGCTACAGAGAGAGGCGCAGAGCCACAGAGAGAGGACGCAGAACAACAGAGAGAGGCACAGAGCCACAGAGAGACGGCGCAGAGCCACAGAGAGAGGCGGCAAGCTACAGAGAGAGGCGCAGAGCCACAGAGAGAGGCGCAGACCCACAGAGAGAGGGCGGAGAGCCACAAAGAGAGGCGCAGATCCACAGAGAGAGGCGGCGAGCTACAGAGAGAGGCGCAGAGCCACAGAGAGAGGCGCAGAGCCACAGAGAGAGGGCGGAGAGCCACAGAGAGAGGCGCAGAGCCACAGAGAGAGGGCGCAGAGCCACAGAGAGAGGGCGCAGAGCCACAGAGAGAGGGCGCAGAGCCACAGAGAGAGGCGCAGAGCCACAGAGAGAGGCGCAGAGCCACAGAGAGACGGCGCAGAGCCACAGAGAGAGGCCGCAGAGCCACAGAGAGAGGCGCAGAGCCACAGAGAGAGGCGCAGAGCTACAGAGAGAGGCGCAGAGCTACAGAGAGAGGCGCAGAGCCACAGAGAGAGGCGCAGAGCCACAGAGAGAGGCGCAGAGCCACAGAGAGAGGGCGGAGAGCCACAGAGAGAGGCGCAGAGCCACAGAGAGAGGGCGCAGAGCCACAGAGAGAGGGCGCAGAGCCACAGAGATAGGGCGCAGAGCCACAGAGAGAGGCGCAGAGCCACAGAGAGAGGCGCAGAGCCACAGAGAGACGGCGCAGAGCCACAGAGAGAGGCCGTAGAGCCACAGAGAGAGGCGCAGAGCCAAAGAGAGAGGCGCAGAGCTACAGAGAGAGGCGCAGAGCCACAGAGAGAGGCGC